CTTCCTTGCAGAGGGTTTATTTTTATTGTGCCTTAATGATCGATTTCCTTTCATTGTGGCAGCCTTAGAGTAGCTTAAATTCAAGAAAGAAGGCCAGGTTTCGTGCTGAAAGCAGGACAGTTCGATAACCATCAATTCCTCTGTGAGCTTGAATGCATTAAATATAAACAGGGTGATTACCAATATAATATTGGTAAGCAATTAGGAAAAGTATACCACTCTGTCCAGCCCTTAGCGACCTATGCGTACTTTAAGTCAGACCTTTGGATTCTAATCTGTATCTTCAGTTCGCAAAAATGTTATCTCGATGAAATTAATAAGTCCTTATGAATGTACCTCCTTTTATCTCGTTTTTCCTTTCAGTAATTTGCTGCTCTGTTGATGGAAGCCAAAGCCTCGTCGATCCTACTTGCGTAACAACACAGACCACTGCAAATAGCTTTTACTTCACCGGCTGCCTCACACCGCTGTCCGCCGAGTTCCTTGGTTATATTAGAACCATCAACATCTGCGTCGCGGTCGGCGTTGGCATAGAGGTAGAGTATATGTTCTTCCACTTGTTGCTGTAGAGCCTATTGCCTGCTTTAGAGGGGGGTTGATTTGTATGTGACACAGTAATGACAAAATGGGGGAAGTATGATGAGGAAGGCTTGCACGCGGCGATCTATCTCCTCCGCTGCCTAATTGTACTTTTTTCTTGTTATATCTCCATTTAAAAGGCAGAAGAAGGCAAAAAGTTGGTTCTGGTGACAAGGGCTTTATTCAGAACAACAGGGAGACAACGGATCCTTTAGCTCGTCCACGACAGCGGATCTGGTCCTTCTAGACCAATATTGGCCCATGGCATGTGACGGGGGTTCTGGCCTGCACGCTGATTCGTATTTTCCTACGATGGCGCGCGGCCGGTCTGCGCACATGACTCAACTGGTGTGCGCTTTTGGCCATAGGGTCTGAGTGCACCGCCGCTCGCGTCCTCGTAACACTTCTCATGACATTACAAGGTCAAATGGATTGAAGATTAGTATAGGCGCGGTGTTTATGCTTTGAGTCGCCGCACCAGCGCCACCCGTAACCCATTCATCAAATGGGACCTCAAGCTGAAAGTTACCGTAAGGGCCACTTTGAGAGGGGGTTGCTGCAATCCCGCCTGCGGCGAAGGATTAAGCGTTACCGGCAACTTTCCACATTATATTGCGCAATTGTTAGGGTGTTGGTTAATTTCCGAACCTGTTGTTTTATTATATTAAGGAGAATATGCGCTGCAGTCGTGACTGATTCGCTTTACTACCGCTTTTCCCCTTCGTATGTCATGAAAAAGTATGAATCGAATTAGAAACGTGATTGCGAACAGTGGTTTATCCCACGTAATGTCTCTGTCCATGGAAATGTCCTCTAGTAAAAATGATGGTTTCTTGAATTAACTAACCCTACTGTTTGCCGTTTACTCTGTTCTTTTTAGGCTGCCCTGTTTACCTGGGCCCTTATGTTGGCGCTCTGCGGATTCTAGCCAAAAGCAGCGTTCAACGAATATGACACATCTTCATTCCTTTTTCGGTTTGCGTTCGCTATGAATGCCCTATAGTTGCATGCAAGAGCGTCCAGGAATGGATCCACTTTAGCTTTCTGTCTCAATGCGCACCTTGTCTCCTTGTCACTTTTAGTTGCCTAACGCCAATTTATTCAACACATGCATGAATTTTCAGTTTTTCGGTCGTTGCTTTTTTCCTCGGAGTTTGATGCAATGAACTAGGAAAGTCTACTTTAGAAGGCTGAATTTTCATATCACCATATGGAGCTACATGAGAAGTCCCAACGTTTACCGACCGGGACCCTTTCTGACTGTAGATTGGACACCCAAAAACAAAAGTAAATCGTCCTTGTTCCATCCTTGAATGCTGATAATTGCACCAATGTCTGTCCCCTGTTCCAGATTACTCGGTAATTTGAAATGACACTTCAGTGCAGGGAAAACACAACGATCTTTGTCTAAAGACCTGGTCTTTGTGAGTTTTACTGAACCAAAAATAAACTCATTCGCTAAAAGGCTGTCAAAAAGAGTCTACTGTTACATCAGCAAATACTTTATTTCGCAACACGCTGTTCTACCAGAAACTTTCAAAAGTGACGGATCTTGTGTGTTTTGCGATTAAACACTAAGGTAGTTTGTTCAGTTGTCGGCATCAGAAAAGTTATTAGGTTGGTACCCGTGAACTGCTCGTAACCTCGATCGCAGATGGGGAGCATGGAACCCTTTGTTTATAACTTCCTCCAAGTGTCAAGGTTTAATTTAAAAGTGTCTTCGCGTGCACTTTAGTAAAAATAATCAGGGACACTTTTGGAATTGGTTGATTCTATGGCCTCTTTAAGTCCTCAGCAATGTGGTTTTTTAAAGAAAATAAATTTGGCACATATTTCCCTTTGCTAAATGGAGTCATTGAGAATGCACGTCCCAGTCCAAAGCTCAGACTGTACACACTGATAATTATGAATTATTGGACCGACTGGCCCAAACTTGATGCCTTAACATATAACGTTACGCCGGGCATAGATAGTTGACGGTAGACAGAGCTCGAAAATCGCAATTAAAAAAAACAAAAACGTCGTAAGGTGTCTCTGAAATGTATGTGCACCCTCAAAATGCAGCCTCTGTAAGCAATATCTACAGGTCACGGGAAATTAGTGGCAGTAAGTTTTCCGCCAAAAATTATCCACCTATTTTGATACTGAGGAGTGCGTCTTAGTGTGCGAAGTTCGGATCTGAGTTCTGCCCGTAGAAGGCGTCTCAGGAAAGCTTCTAAGTTCACCGTGATTTTTTATTGATCTCGTCCAACCCACACCCTTGCCTATCCTTTCTTTGGACAAATTTAAGAAAGAAGAGTGAGACGGATTCAATGAAGAGTGTTACAGATGTGTAGTATGACCATCGGTTTCGATGAAGTCCACCATGTGCTCAAG